GCGGTCCTTCTCCCTGCGCAGCGCGCCACAGAAAAGGGCCGGTTGCGGGGCAGCGTGGGTGCGGAGCGAAGAACGGAGCAGACGGGCCCTGTAAAGCAAGGTGAATCGATAAGCGAAAGTTCCTGTTGAGAGTTGAAACCAAGCATTTGGGGGGGACGCAGGGATCAGTCATTAAGCCACTGAAGCATTTTCCGTCGCAGCGCGGCAGAGGCGATCCGCATGCGCGTGCGAGCGACACCGGGGCACGGAATCACGAATTAGCCCGAGTGCAAGAGGGGAAAAGGGGAGAGGGCGGCAGCGGAGAGGCGAGCACGGGGCGCACTCATGCAGCCGGGCAGCAGAGTGCGGGCGCGGCCAGTTTGAGGGTTCAATTTGGCAGCGGCTGCGGGACGGCATCGCAGCGCACCCAGGGCTGGGGGCCAGCAGCCGCAGTGCGGGGGTACCGGGTATCCCGACAAGGCAGGTGAGAAGTGGAGGCGCTTGAAAACCATGTGGCCGGCGGTAGGGCGAGGAGAAGCAGCGTGCAGCCGGTGGCTGATGTCAGCTGGCGCTGCAGCGGCTGCGGAGGGCCCAAGGCGATGGAGGGAACACCGGCCCAATGACGGGCGGCCAGCATACTCCAGCTTGGATCACGGCGGGGGCGGAGGCAGATAAATTATCCCAGTGCGACCCTGTCTGGGAGTTGGAGCCTCTAGGAAAGCAACATTAGTAGGAACGGTAAACGCCGTCCTCCTCCTTCTCCTCATTGTTGTAGTTGTAGCAGTAGCGGTAGTAGTAGTAGTAGTCGTAGTATTAGTAGTAGTAGTAGTAGTAGTAGTAGTAGTAGTAGTAGTAGTAGTAGTAGTAGTAGTAGTAGTAGTAGTAGTAGTAGTAGTAGTAGTAGTAGTAGTAGTAGTAGTAGTAGTAGTAGTAGTAGTAGTAGTAGTAGCAGTAGTAGTGAAAGAAGGAGTCGCAGTAGTAGCAGCAGTAGTGGTAGAATAAATCGTGGAAGAAATAGATAGTAGTAGTAGTAGTAGTAGTAGTAGTAGTAGTAGTAGTAGTAGTAGTAGTAGTAGTAGTAGTAGTAGTAGTAGTAGTAGTAGTAGTAGTAGTAGTAGTAGTAGTAGTAGTAGTAGTAGTAGTAGTAGTAGTAGTAGTAGTAGTAGTAGTAGTAGTAGTAGTAGTAGTAGTAGTAGTAGTAGTAGTAGTAGTAGTAGTAGTAGTAGTAGTAGTAGTAGTAGTAGTAGTAGTAGTAGTAGTAGTAGTAGTAGTAGTAGTAGTAGTAGTAGTAGTAGTATAGTAGTAGTAGTAGTAGTAGTAGTAGTAGTAGTAGTAGTAGTAGTAGTAGTAGAGTATTAGTAGTAGTAGTAGTAGTAGTAGGAGTAGGAGTAGTAGTAGTAGTAGTAGTAGTAGTAGTAGTAGTAGTAGTAGTAGTAGTAGTAGTAGTCGTAGTCGTAGTCGTAGTAGTAGTAGTAGTAGTAGTAGTAGTAGTAGTAGTCGAAGAAGAAGAAGAATAATAAGAACAATAATAATAAGAAGAAGAATACTAATAATAATCAGTATAAGAAGAAAACTAATAAGAATAATAATAAGAATAATAAGAATAATAAGAAGTAGTAGTAGTAATAATAGTAGTAGTAGCGCCAGAACCGCCGACGCTACGCCGTAAGTGAAGCAGCAGCAGGAGCAGGCAGCAAGTCGCCGAGACAGCAGCAAAAGCAAGCAGGCACGGAGATGAGGTCGGGGCACTGGGGAGTTCTGTACACCTACATCTATATCTACACCTACATATACATCGAGACCTACATCTACATGTAGACCTACATCTACATCTACTCCTGCAGCTACATCTACATCTACACCAGCATCTACATCTACATCTACATCAACAGCGAGACTCACATCTACATCTACATCTACACCTACATTTACACTTACACCTACATCTACATCTACATCTACATCTACACCTACATCCACATCTACACCGACACCCACATCTACATCTACAGTTTCGCATTGGTTTTGCTTTTGCTTTGCATTGCCTTTGCTTTTGCTCTTTCCTTTGCTTTTGCCTTTGCCTTTGCTTTTGATTTTGCTGTTGCTGTTGCTGTTGCTGTTGCTTTTGCTTTGCTTTTGTTTTTGTTTTTGCTCGGTTTTGCTTTTGCTTTGCCTGCGCACAGACATACGGACACAGACGGACACATAGGGCTCAAGATGTGGATAGCATCGCATACCATAGCATAGCATAGCAGCAGCAATAGTGGATGCTGTGCTGCGCTATGCTATGCTCTGCTCTGCTCTGCTATGCTATGCTATGCCATGCTATGCTATGCTATGCTGCGCAATGCTATGCTGGGCTAGGCTATGCTATGCTATGCTATGCTGCGCTATGCTATGCTGCGCTATGCTATGCTATGCTATGCTATGCTATGCTATGCTACGCTATGCTATGCTATGCTTTTGCTTTGCCTTCGCTTTTGCCTTCACTTTTGCCTTTGCTTTTGCTTTTGCTTGGCACCCAGGGAGCGCCACTGGGGGAACCGCTCGTTTGCTTTTACCTTTGCTGTTGCTTTTGCTTGCTCCCAGGGGACCGGGGGAACCGCCCGGGGCGCGTAGCACTGCCCGGCCCCTTGAAGCCAAGAAAGTAAGAACCCTTCTAGGCAGAGCCTAGGTAGGGAAAAACGCGACTCCACAGACAGTGCACGGCATCACGGCGGAAGTGCGCGACGCCCAGAGCAAGTGACGCACGGGCGGGACCCCCCACGTCGTGGGGAGCATGCCCAGTCAGCCGTCCAGTGTGGCGGAATGGGCAAGGTGAGGGCGATCCGCAGTGGCCCTTGGGGCGGGTGCGGTGCGCAAGAGAGCCAAAGGCCGATGCACTTAGGTCATTGAATCATGCGAAGGCAATATCGGCAGCAACGCGCAGCGGGCACGTTTTTTGCCTCTGGACCCAGGGCGAGCCACCCAGGGTGCAATACAGGGCCGCGTCGTCTGAAAACCAATGAGGATTTCCAACGACGTGCGCCAGTCATTCCTCGGGGAATTCCGACATCACGCGAGCGCGACGCGCATGTTTTTGCCTCTGGACCCAAGGCAGGCCACGAAACGTGTGAGGGGTGTGCCGATGGCGCCATGTGGACCCTCCCATTGGGGCCTTCGGTGGAGCTCTTTTTGGGGCCACGAAACGTGTGGGGTGCGTGCCGGAATGGGTGCTGCGACACCATGCTGACCCTCCCACAGGGGACATTCGGTGGAGCTCCGTGTGGGGCCACGAAACGTGTGAGAGGCTGAAACTGAGTGCGCCGTCCCACTGGGGCCTTCGGTCGAGCTCCCTTTGGGGCCACGAAACGTGTGGGGTGCGCGCCGAAATGGGCGCGGTGCCGCCAGCGGGTCCTCCCAGCGGGGCCTTCGAATTGCATTATGAAGGTGGAACTTGTGCAGTGTAAGGAATGCGGTGGAAGCTATGTGGTGTAGGGTGGGTATGTTCTGTAAGTTATGGAGGGTGCGGTGTAAGCTATGTGGTGCACGCTATGTTGTGTAAGCTAGGCGGAGTGCACTGGACTTAAAGCTATGGGATGTAAGCCATGTGATAAAGGGTTGTGTAAGCTGTATTGTGCAAGCTATGCTGTACCATGTGGACAACGCTACGCTATGTAGGCTGTATGTTGCGAGCGACGGATGTGACAACCATGCGGTGTAAGCTTTGCCGTGTAGATTATGTGTTGCAAGCTGCGCGATGTGAGCCAGAGGTGAAAGCTATGGGGTGTAAGCTAGGTGTCGCCAGCTATGTTGTGTAAGCAATTCGCTTCAAGCTATGTGGCGTAAGCTATGTGGATGTGGAAAATCACGGGGCGCCCACGGAGGCGGCACGGGCGGCAGCGTGGCGCAAAACCTCGACGTACCCCCCAGAGGTGCGGGGCACTGACCTCGACATTCCCCCGACGCGCGGGGTGCCCACGAGGCGCCCACGAGGCTGCACGGGCGCGCAACGCGGCGAAAAGCCAACATACCTATCCAGTTCCTTGCGGCAGGTTCGCGTCGTGTCGACGGGCTTCGACCCCGCGGGCGGCGGCGGCAGCCCAGCATCGGTCGATCGGACGTTGCGGACGCGGCGATCGTTTAAGATTGAAGGATCCCCGCGATGTCAGAAACCAACGCCAGGGTCGACACGACACGAACCTGCCGTAAGAAACATCAATCAGAATCCCTATGTGCAAGCACTTCTTGAGACATGAAAGCTGGAGGCGCGGCGGACACAGAGGGCATGCCGCACGCCAGTCCGACAGGCTCAGGCATGCTGGTTGTATTTCGAGAAGTGCTCCGCTGGACTTCTTGGCATTCCGTCATAGCCTGGAATGCCATCCTCCTCTGGAGAAATCCAATCATACCCATATCGGGGCCCGACGACCTGCCAGCAAATTTCAATGCAACGAACTTGATCTTTTCGCTCTACACAGTGAGTCCCCACGTGCTACATCGTGAATTTGAGCTCATACTTGACGCTCACCAGCCACTGGACCAGGCCTGTTTTCAAAGAAGATTCAGCACTGTCGACCGTCCGTTTGCTTTATACGGGTTCAAGATGCGTCTCTGGGAAATTCACCATTTCATTTCGGGCCGGGACGCTTGATTTTAAGAAGAACGGACAATCTACGGAAGAACCCACGGGACAGCCCGCGGGACAATTCATTGGAGAATCCACGGGACAATCCACTGACCAATCAATGGGATAACCAGCGCATAACCACGGGACAACTCACAACACAATCCACGGGAAAACGACGAAATAACCCATGGAGTAACTCACGAGACAGCCCATGCGACAACCACGAGACAACCTGCGGATCTTGGGGAGGAGGAGGAGGATGAGGAGGAGGAGGATGAGGAGGAAAAGGAGGAAGAGGAGGAAGAGGAGGAGGAGGAGGAGGCGGAGGAGGAGGAGAAGGAGGAGGAGGAGGAGGAGCCGGAGGATAGAGGGTGGAGGATAGAAGATGGTTGGGGGGCGCGCTCCTTGGGAGGCGCTGCGGCGGCGCTGGGGTGTTCGTCCGCCGCCACGGGGCGCTCCTGCTCGCGCCGCCCGCGGACGCGGGGCCCGGCGCCGTGCGGGCGCGCGCTTCGGCCTCTCTTGGCACGCGACGGTGAAGATGACGACGACGACGACGACGAGGAGGAGGAGGAGGAGGAGGAGGAGGAGGAGGAGGAGGAAAAGCAGGAGGGGGGGAGCAGAGGAGGAGGAGGAGGAGGAGGAGGAGGAGGAGGAGGACGACGACGACAAGGAGTAGGAGGCAGAGGAGGAGGAGGAGGAGGAGGACGAGGAGGAGGAGGAGGCGGAGGAGGAGGATGAGGAGGAGGAGGAGGAGGAGGAGGAGAAGTTGGAGGAGATGGCGGAGTTGGCGGAGTTGGCGGAGTTGGAGGAGGAGGAGGGCTCATGTAAACCCAAGAGTTATAAACTATGTTGGAATATACCCTCCCTCCAAGCCCCCTCTTCATAGGCCCCTACAACGGTTCATTTCCACTGAGGGAACTGCTTCTTTGGAAGACGACCGTTTGAAGACCCTGAAGCATGCCAAAGTATTGTTCTTGGGATTCCAACGCCACGGATCAACCTGACTGTTGCGTCTTGACAATCCTCAATCGCGCCAGAACGCCATTCTTGGTTCTTCAACGCAGCGAGTCAACAACTGTTGCACCCGCATAATCCTGAACCCTTTCAAGACACAATTCCTGGCACGTTGATGATGGGCATCCGTGAAACTCTAGGAAATGTTTAAAACGAATGTGCGCCGCGCCAAGGCGAGAGCCCCCATTTGGAAAAGGAGCAGCCCTCAATCCGTGAAATTATTGCGAACTTTTAGAACGAATGTGCGACGCGCTAAGGCGAGAGCCATATTCTGAGAACCGCCCGCCCTCAAATCCGTGAAGCTCTTGCATTTTTACAACGCGTGTACGCCGCGCTAAGGCGAGAACCACATTTTGAAAACGACCCGCCCTCAATCAGTGAAGTTCTTGCACATTTCTGAAACGAATGTGCACCGCGCTAAGGCGAGAGCCACATTTTGATAACCGCCCGCCCTCAATCCGTGAAGCGCTTGCAAATTTTCGAAACGAATGTGCGCCGCGCCAAGGCGAGAGCCACATTTTGAAAACGACCCGCCCTCAATCCGTGAAACGCTTGTAAATGTCTAAAACGAATGTGCGCCGCGCCAAGGCGAAAGCCACGTTTTGATAACAACCCGCCCTCCATCTGTGAAGCTGCTGCCATTTTTTTGTGCTTCAGAGTCAGAAATGGTGGGGACGTCTCAGGCGAAACGCCCGGCCCACCCTAAAACTTGCTTCGGGGTGCGACAGGGAGAGTTTTTCAAGGAAAAGGAGGGGAGGAGAAGGAGGAGGAGGAGGCGGAGGAGGAGGAGGAGGAGTAGGAGGAAGAGGAGGAGGAGGAGGCTGCAAGTGCTACCCCTCCGCGCACTGCCACACCGCGATCGCTCGATAGGGCTGATCTCGCTGTCGCCCGTGTGGTGCAGTCTGGAGGCGTGCAGTATGTCATCCATCCTATCGGGTTGGGGAGCGGTGTGTGGTGTGTGGTGTGTGGTGTGTGCGGTGTGTGGGATGGGAGGGGTCAAAGTCTCTGCCCGTCTCAGTGCTACCTGCACAGGACCGCCACCTGCTGGCTCATGCATGGGGAGCGCGGGTCCTGGCAAGTCTTGCGCAGGCTTCGTCGCGGTTTCAAGTTAACAAGGTTTGGTACCCTCTCGTACAACCTTTCAGGACGGGCGACTTCATTCCCTACCTAGGCTCTGCCTAGAAGGGTTCTTACCCTGTATGCTTAAGGTGCCGGGCAGTGGGAACCGCCCCGGGCGGTTCCCCCAGGATCCGCCCCGTGGTTCCCTCAGTTACGTCCCCTTAGCTTAGCGTTGCTTATCTCATCTTAGCTGAGCTTATTTCATCTTAACTTCGGTTAGCTTCATCTTAGCTCAGGTTTATCTAAGCTTTGCGTACCTTCATCTTAGCTTCGCCGAGCTTTAGCATAGCAGAGCACAGCATAGCATAGCGTAGCACAGCATAGCGCAGCACAGCATATCACAGCATAGCCCAGCATAGCATAGCATAGCGCAGCATAGCATAGCATAGCATAGCGCAGCACAGCACAGCACAGCACAGCACAGCATAGCACAGCGCATAGCATAGCATAGCATAGCATAGCATAGCATAGCAGAGCATATCATAGCACAGCAGCAAAGCAAAGGCAAAGCAACAGCAGCGACAGCAAAGCAAAGCACAAGCAACGCAAATCAAAGCAAAGCAAAAGCAAAAGCAAAGCAAAGGAAAGGCACAGGAAACGCAATGTGCGACAGATGCCGAGCTGGCCTCGATGGCAGGCCCAGAGCCCCCGCAAGCAGTAGATGTAGATGTGAGTCTCGCTGTTGATGTTAATGTAGATGTGAGTCTCGCTGTTGATGTTGATGTAAGTAGATGTTGATTGTAGGTGTAGATGTAGATGTAGATGTGAGCCTCGCTGTTGATGTAGATGTAGATGTAGATGCAGGTGTAGATGTTAATGTAGCTGTCGGTGTAGATGTAGATGTTGCTTTCCTAGATGCTCAAACTCCTGGGCAGGGTCGCACTGGGAGAATTCGTGCTGCAGAGGTCTTCAGTGCGAGGCAAGATGTTGCTCATGGCGTGCGCGTCTGTGCGCTGGTGCGAGTGTGTCGGAGGCGCCGCCCGCCTCTGGGGTCTTTCCCATGCGGCGGCGGAAGCGGTACGTGGCGCGAGAGATTGATCTTGCGCTGGGGCTTGGTCCAGGAGGAGGAGGAGGAGGAGGAGGAGGAGGAGGAGGGAGGAGGAGGAGGAGGAGGGAGGGAGGAGAAGGCGGAGGCGGAGGGGAGGGGGAGGGGGAGGGGGAGGGGAGGGGGAGGGGGGGGGAGAGGGAGAGGGAGGGGGAGGACGAGGACGAGAGGAGGAGAGGAGAGGAGGAGGAGGAGGAGGAGGAGGAGGAGGAGCAGGAGCAGGAGCAGGAGCAGAGCAGGAGCAGGAGCAGGAGCAGGAGGAGAGGAGGAGGAGGAGGAGGAGGAGCAGGAGGAGGAGGAGGAGGAGGAGGAGGAGGAGGAGGATGAGGAGGTCGTTGGCACCATCCCTGCTACCGCAGCCCTTCGGCAGTGCGGGGGCGCACCCAACCACTGACGGTCCGAAGATGCAGGGTGGAGGAGGATCTTGTGTGGGGAGAGCTTGCGGACAGGTTGGTGTGGTGCGGCTGGACCGTAATGCAAGATCACCTTAGTGGTGGGGGTGGGGTTGGGAGTGGGAGTGGGGGTGTGCGCGATGTGTGGCGGCCTTTATGTCCACCTACCTGGTCGCACTCCCGCGCGCGAGATACGTGGGCGTGTGTGGCGGCATCCAGGTTTGACAAGGCGCTCGGTGGGGGAGGAGGGAAAGGAATGGGGTAATTAGGATGGCGCCGAAAGGGAGGGACGGGCCAAGGGGTGATTCTGTCTTACAGGGAAGTGGTGCCAAACAGTGCGTCGTATCTTGGCGGTTGCCAGGGGGGGCGCGATTTGTCCGCCCGTTGGTGCCGACAGAATGCATCAACGTATGTGTGTCGTAAGTGTCGCGGGAAACCCGTCTCACACGTCCCTGGCAGTGGTATCAGTTGACAAAGCGCATGCTTCGCTCGCCGATTCCCGGCGCAAAGTTGTTGTCACGAAATTCGGCTCTCAATGCTCGTGACGTTACGCAGCTTGCCTCCAGGACCGCTGGCCTTGCCGTCAGACCGTGTCCTGGGAGTATCTGCAGCGATGCTTTGCCATGGTAAGACAGCCGCTACGGTGCGACGCGCACTCAGGACCGCTGGCCTTGCCGCCACGCTGTGTCGTGGAGGCGGATGCCTCGATCGACTACAGGGCAGTTGGCCTTGCCGCTAGACTGTATCCTGGAGGTATCTACCTCTTTCGCAGGTGTGTGGGGTGCGTCGAGGCCGTGCCGTGGTGACGCAGGCACTGCGACACGACGTACGCACAGGGGCCGCCGGCATTGCTGCCCGCTGGTATCCTGGAGGCACATGTCTCGTTCGACTACAGGACCGCTGGCCTTGCCGCCAGAGTGTGTCCTGAAAGTATATGCCTCTTTCGCAGGCGAGAGGGGTGCAGCGAGGCCGCGCCATGGTGAACCAGGAACTGGATCCGCAGGATAGCATGGGAATGCTGGGGCATGACCGTGAGGGGGTTCAGGGTCAAAGGAGGCTGATGGGCGACAGGCCATGAGAAGGGGCGCGGTCCTACATGGCAGAGGACGGACCCGCTGCGCCCGTGGGCGAATGACTGAGGGCAGGGGGAGGAAAACGGGGACGGGGGAGGGGGGGCGGGCGCGAGGGAGACGGAGAGGAAAACGAAAACGGGGGAGGGGGGGGGTTGCGGCAGACGCCGCGGGTTGGGGGACGCGTGGAAGGCGAGGTCCTTTGCAGGTGCCCGAACGATGGGAGTGGTGGGCACCTTTAACATGAGAGCGACCAGGCACAGTAAGGGGCGGTGGCCCACGGCACCCTGCGAGCGAAAACGGGCATGTAGCGCGCGGGCTCGTGGATGGTTGGCCTTGCCGCCAGACTGTGTCCTGGAGGTGCCTCCCTCTTTTGCTGGCGCGTGGGGTGCAGCGCGGCCGCGCCATGGGGGCGCAGGCGGTGCGGAACGACGTGCACTCAGGACCGCTGGCCTTGCCGCCAGACTGTGTCCTGGAGGCAACTGCCTCTTTCGACTACAGGGCCGCTGGCGTTGCCGCCAGACGGGGTCCTGGGGGCATCTACCTCTTGCACAGGCTTGTGGGATATAGCGAATGCGTGCCATGGTGACGCAGGCGCTACAGACCGACGTGCATTCAGGACCGCTGGCCTTGCCGCCAGACTGTGTCCCGAAGGTGGCTGCCTCAGTCGGCTACAGGGCCGGTGGCCTTGCCGCCCGACTGTGTCCTGGAGGTATCAATCTCTGTCGCAGGCGTGTTGAATGCAGTGAGGCCGCGCCACGGTGGCGTAGGCGCTACGGGGCGACAAGCACTCAGGGCCGCTGGCCTTGCCGCCAGACTGTGTCCTGGAGGCGGATGCCTCGATCGACTAGAGGACCGCTGGCCTTGCCGCCAGATGTGTCTCCTGGAGGTATCTACCTCTTTCGCAGGCGTGTGGAATACAGCGAGGCCGTGCCATGCTGACGCAGGCGCTACGGGGCGACAAGCGCTCAGGACCGCTGGCCTTGCCGCCAGACTCCGTCGCAGTTTTTGCTTAATCCATTCTGGCTCAAGCCATTGGCTCGAGAAGTCGGCGGGAAGCGTCGCGGGACAAATTCTTTGAAACGGCGCCCTTCCGAAATCGGAGTTATCTCTGATATAATTCGCGACGAGTTTTATCCTGCTGGCAGAGTTTGGCTTGATGCTGCACACAGTGAAAAAAACCTTGCCGCCAGACTGTGTCCTGGAGGCGGATGCTTCGATCGACTGCAGGACCGCTGGCCTTGCCGCCAGACTGTGTCCCGGAGGTATCTACCTCTTCTGCGGGCGTGTGGGGTACAGTGAGGCCGTGCCATGGTGAACACGGTACTGGATATGCAGGGTATCATGGCAGTGCTGGGGCATGGCCATGAGGTGGGGTCAAGGTCATACAGGCGCACGGAACGCACGGGCTCGTAATTGGCTGGCTTTGCCGCCAGACTGTGTCCTGGATGTGCCTGCCTCTTTTGCTGGCGTGTGGGGATACAGGCGGTGCGGAACGACATGCTTTCAGGACCGTTGGCCTTGCTGCCAGACTGTGTCCTGGAGGCAAATGCCTCAATCGATTACAGAACCGCTGGCCTTGCCGCCAGACTATGTCCTGGAGGCATCTACCTCTTGCGCCCGCGTGCGAAGTAACACGAGGCGCTGCGGAATGACATGCAGTCGGGACCGCTGGCGCTGCCGCCAGACTGTGTCCTACGGTGACGCAGGCGCTACGGGGCGACAAGCACTCAGGGCCGCTGGCCTTGCCGCCAGACTGTGTCTTGGAGGTGGATGCCTCGATCGACTTTGCCGGTGTCACCCAGGGTCCCTGACTCTTGGGGCGGTTGTCCAGGTGCTCGTCGGGTTTGCGTTGATCGCGCGCCCTTACCGGCGCCCCATGCGTCCTGCATAACCTCCGCCCCAAGCGTTGCGCAAGCCATCGGCATGGGGAGGAGCAGGAGGACGAGGAACATGAGGAGGAGGAGGAGGAGGAGGAGGAGGAGGAGGATGAGGACGATGAGGAGGAGGAGGAGGAGGAGGAGGGAGGAGGAGGAGGAGGAGGAGGAGGAGGAGGAGGAGGGAGGATGAGGACGATAAGGAGGAGGAGATGGAGGAGGAGGTGGAGGAAAAGGGGGAGGAGGAGGAGGAGGAGCAGGAGCAGGAGGAGGAGGAGGAGGATGAGAAAGAGGAAGGGGAGGAGGGGGAGGAGGAGGAATAGGAGGAGGAGGGGGGGGGGAGGAAAAGGAGGAGGAGGAGGAGGAGGAGGTGGAGGACCAGTGTAAACCCAAGAGTCATCAACGATATTGGAATAAGCTCTTCCTCCGAACTCCCTCTTCATAGGCCCCTGCACCAGTTCATTTCCATTGAAGGAACTGCCTTTTTGAAAGACAACCGTTTGAAGACCCTGAAGCATGCCAAAGCATTATATTTTGGATTCCAGCGCCACGGGTCAACCTGACTGTTGCGTCTTGACAACCCTGAATCGTGCCAAAACACCATTCCTGGGACTTCAACATTGCGAACCAACGTAACTTTTGCACCCGCATAATCCAGATTTTTTCCAAAATGCCATTCCTCACACGTTGATGATGGGAATCCGCGATACCCCCGTCAAAGTTTAAAACGAATGTGCGCCGCGCTTAAGCGAGAGTACGCTTTCAAAAAGAACCGCCCTCAATCCGTGAAGCCCTTGCACATGTGTAAGACGAATGTGCGCCGCGCTATGGCGATAACCATATTTTGAAAACCACCCGCGTTCAATCCGTGAAACTTGTGCAACTCTGTAGAACGAATGTGCGCCCTGCTCAGGCGAGAGCCACATTCTGAACAAGGAACCGCCCTCAATCCGTGAAACTTGTGCAACTTTGTAAACATTGTAAACATAAGCGAATGTGCGCCCTGTGCAGGCGATAGCCACATTCTGAAAAGGAACCGCCCTCAATCCGTGAAACTTTTGCAATTAAAAAAAACGAAGTTGCGCCGCGTTCAGGCGAGAGCAATGTTTTGAAAAAGGAACCGTTTTCAATCAGTGAGACTTCCGCGATTTTTCCCAACCAACCTGTGTTGTTTGGTCCTCGCTTTGAAGAGACGGTCCCCGCGTGCCTTCCTCCCTTTCTTCCTTCCTTCCTTCCTTCCTTCCTTCCTTCCTTCCTTCCTTCCTCCTTCTCCCTCCTCCTCCTCCTCTTCCTCCCGTTCCTCCCTCATTTCGTGGCCCCATAGGGAGCTCCACCGAAGGTTCCAGTGGGACCGCCCGCATGCGTCATCCACCACCCAGCACAGCATTTCGTGGCCCCATAGAGAGCTCCACCGAAGGCTCCAGTGGGACCGCCCGCATGCGTCATCCACCACCCAGTACAGCGTTTCGTGGCCCCATAAGGGGGCTCCACCGAAGGCCCCAGTGGGACCGCCCGCATGCGCCATCCACCACCCAGCACAACATTTCGTGGCCCCACCGAAGGCCCCAGCGTCATCCACCACCCAGTACAGCGCTTCGTGGCCCCATAGGGGGCTCCACCGGAGGCCCCGGTCGGACCGCCCGCATGCGTCATCCACCACCCAGTACAGCGTTTCGTGTCCCCACAGGGAGCTCCACCTAAGGTTTCCGTGGCGGAACTTGCATGGCGGCCCAGAGGCGGAGTTCGCATGGCGGCGACTTTTGATTTCTGGAGGTTTTTTGTCGTATTCAATGTGTTGAGGCCGCTTTCGGGCCGCGCATCCCGGGCGGGAGCCAGCCTGATCACTCTCTCTGTTCCGCGCAGCGGACGACCCGCGCGCGTCGCCGGGACCCTTTCGGGGCGGCCAGCGCGCGTCGCGGGGTTTTCGTGCGGCGTCGCGCCCGTAGCCTTGGACGTGGGTGTGCACGGGCAAGGAGGGGAAACAAAAAGCGGGAAGGAAACGGGCGCGATCCTCGTGAGAGGCGCGCCGACATGGGCGTCGACATTTATGCACGTAGACGCACGCGCGCGCACACTCATCCACAATCAGACTCACTCGTTCCCAGTTTCTCGCACACACGCCTATCGTTTTCGCTTGCGTTGTGTGCCCCGCCACGCACGTCGGCACGTCCCTCACACAGCTCGTGGCCCCATAGGGGGCGGGGGCGAAAATGATATTCATAATTGCGGTATTCACAGCGGCACATGGTTGGGTCCTTCGCCAGGCCACATTTTGAAGACCACCCGCCCTCCATCAGTGAAGCTGTTGCCAAGTTTCAAGCTTCAGAGTCATAAATGGTGAGGATGTCCCAGGCGAAACGCCTAGCCCGCCCTAGAAACATGCCTAGGGGTGCGACAGGGAGAAGTTAGTTATAAGGAATGTAGCAGGGGGGGAGCAGGAGGAGGAGGAGGAGGAGGAGGAGGAGGAGGAGGAGGAGGAGGAGGAGGAAGAGGGGGATCAGGAGGAAGAGCAGGAGGAGGATGATGATCAGGAGGACATCGGCCCCTAGTTAGGCAACGGGCAAGAGGATTAGGAGGAGGAACGGATCCGCCCTCCTCTTTGTCGGCTTCTTTCTGCGAGCACCCCCAGGATCTCCCGCCTGCCCCCCCCCGCCGAGGTGCTGGCCGAGGGCTTCAACCACCCCGCGCCGCCGCTCGGGCCCCGGGGCATGGATAAGTGGCGCGGTCTGGTGAGGACCGGCTTGTGTCGCCGTGATGGTGGTGGTGGTGGTGGTGGTGGTGATGGTGGTGGTGGTGGTGTTCGTCGTCTGTCGTCGTCATCGCCGTCGTCGTCGTCGTTGGTGTCGTCGTCGTTGTTGTCCTCGTCCTCGTCCTCGTTCTCGTCCTCGTCTGAATCGTCTTTGTCGTCGTCGTCGTCGTCATCGTCGTCGTCGTCGTTCTCAAAGCCGCCATTGCACTATCAAGCAGTGACGGCGCAGGCGGCTTCACCCCACCCCCCCCGACGCGCCCCGCCAGGCCGTCGCGGGAGGGGGACGCCAAGCCCGCGGCGCCGCGTGCGGCGCTCGCGGCAGGGCGGCGGGGGCCGGGCCCAGGGACCTGCCCCTCCTCCCTCCTCCCCCTCCGTCCCTCCGCACACGCGCGGCGCAATGGCCACGCACTTGCGCACCGTGGGGTGGAACCCGTTCACCCTCTACGGTACGGGGAGGATGGTCGAGGTCTCGGAAGCGTTCAAAAACATACATGTGCTACTACTCCCTGGAACTAAACTCCGATGCCGACCAGGGACCCCCCACACCTACGAGAAGACCCACAGGCATCTGTTCGTGCACTTTGGGTGGGCTCGGGGAAGTATGACGAACGCTTCGGCAGGTTGTTCAATAGGTTTATCATCCAGCCGCTTTCGGGCTAAAGATATCATCAGGATCAACACCCCCCCACCCGAACTTGTCGGGAGGGGGGGCTCTCTGGACGTACACCAAGGCGCTTTCCGATCCAGGCTTATAGTTGCATATTTTCCACCTAGACCGTCGTCAGCAGCACATGTACGACAATGGCATGTTGCATATCGACGTCTCCTCGATTGGGTTCTCCAGGAAATCACGACGACGGCGGCCCGAGTTGTTCCCCTTTTCTTTGGGGGCCTGAACCTGAACCTCGGCCGCCAGGACGGGAGAATGGTCGAGGACAGCAGCGTTGGACCATTCCAAGCTGCCGCCGAGAGCGACGTTGGCAAACTTGTACACCGCAGACTTCTTGAGCATGAATTAGCTGTCCCAAATAGTTTTTATGACCTTGGATATTCTTTCTTTGGAAATAATGGTGCACGCTCGCGCGTAGATTATTGTATCACACCACAACCGCTCATGGGCAACATGCGGTGCATGCACATGTGCTGGCGCAGACATCGACAGTTGAACGTTCTCCGACATGTACTGGACCACATTCCCATGGCCATGGAAGTGACTGTCACCGCCCCTCCATCACCCCAAGAGCGGGGATACTGTGTCTGGGACTGGGGCTTGATTGCGGCAGGTCTACAGATTGGGCACGCACGGCGTGAGTTTCTCACCGACCTGCACGGCGCACTCCGACAGGCAGCCCCGATCCTCGACACCATTATTGAGGACGACGACCCCGCTCGGCACGCGGCGGTCGTCAGCCACATCATACGCACCACGGCCATGAAATACTATTCCAAGGACAACAGCACGCCACAGTGGGTACAGGATGCACGCGCAGAGCGCCTCACCTTACTTCGTCAGCGCGCGTGTTTACGCGAGCAGGGTGCACAGTACGACTCAGCCCAGCTTAAAGAAGTCAACAGGAACATCAAACAGTTTCAGCGGTGGAAGAATGACTGGTGGAAGTATTCTATTGAGCAGGAACTACGGGAAGCATGGTCCCGACGGGAATCGGCGAGAGTGGCGGAACTAGCGCGTCTACGGGCAGGCACGCGTACGGGTGCACGCAAGCGTTCATACCTCGCACTGCCTGCAGCACGCCCTCTCGCCTCCTCCTTCCTGTCCGCCGTCTCGTTGCCAGGAGTCGAAGGAGGATTGGGAGCGAGGGAGGTGCACAACAGCATGTGGCTACGTGACACACAGGCAGTGGAGGCCCTCCTCGCCACTCCCCCCGCCGACGTACGTCCCATTGGTACCGTTCGAGCCAGTCCCGCCCCCGAAGACTACACCCAGGCCTGTGACGATCTTCGGTTCATTGGGGAGCGGATCTGGTCTCAGAGGCATCGACGGTATAGCCCCCCCTGGTCCTGGCCCGTGGAGTTTACTCTCATGATGTTTGCCCCGAAAGCTCTCGCCAGGCCAGGTATCCCGACGGCTGGCATAGGACACGACGACGCCGACTACTCAAAAATCCTTAGGCCCTCGGAGGAAGCAGATCGACCAGAGCACCCTGGACTAGGATGGAATGGCACTCGCATCCGAGTCAGTCGTCCCGACCGCAGACAGCTTGGTGGCATATCCAATGAGATATTTGCGGAGGCGCCGGCCGTGATCATCGCCCTGCTGGCACACGTTCGATGCGCGAAACGACTCCCACAGCAGGCGGTCACGGGCCACGGCATCATGATCCCCAAAAAGAATCAACGCCCCACAGGAGATCCCGTCCGAGACATCACGGCTTGTTTAAGGATGATACACTGTTTTTGTCCCTGGTGGCGCTTTTACTTACGAGTTGGTTTGACTGTATATGGATCGGAGTTTTCGGCCCCTGATTGGGCCTATGGCGGTATTAGGAAACGAAGACGGGAGGCCCTGATGACTATCGTCAAAATCCTGGAATGGAAGCTTCGACACCATAAACTAGCGTACATGATAAAGTCGCACGACATGCGCAATGCATTCGGGACAGGTCACACATCCCTCCTCCTGGGCGCGCAGGCCGCCCGACAGACATCTAGACACTTCGCCCGCATGCTGGAGCTGCGCCGCACCGAGGCGGTGATCCGCGTGGACGCGGCGGACGCATCTATCTGCATTCGGCCTGGGGAAGGAGGAAGGATGGGGGACTCCAATGAACCTGAATTGTTTATGGGAGCCTTTTATCAGTCTGTGGAGCGATGGCATCGAGCTACTACCGACATCACAGGCCCCCTGTTCGAGTCAGAGTGCCCGATTACACACGAGACCCAGGACTTGAGTCGGGGGGCGTTCATAGACGACATGATCAGGATTTTCATCATCCTCGACGGATCCCTCAAACACACCCTCCTCCTAGATAAGTTGGATAACAATTTCTTCAATCACGAGTTAGCGAAGGACGGGTACGCCCAATACGTAAAGAAACAGGACACCCTGCTCCACCTCCGCCGAGCCCAGGACACCAAGACAGCAGAGAGGAGTATTGGAGGCACCCCCGTCGTCGATCTCATACACCTTGGAGGTTACGTGAATGCCAGCGGGTCGAATGCCAGAGAGGTTACTGAACGAATCCGCTCTGGAAATATTGGCTGGTGCAACTTGGGGCATTTTTGGGCGGCCCCTGGGCCCCTCCGCTGCAAACGTATGGCTTTTATTTCCAACGTTGCTGGGAGAGTTTGGTCGGGACTGGAATCCTTTGTCCTCCTGGAGAGCGAGACGCGAAGGTTGGACAGATCATTGGCGAAGAAGATACGCGCCATTCTCCTAGGGAGGGCGCGCGAGGTCACCGAGGAGGGGGATCACCGATCCCTCTCGAACAAACAGGTTTTCGAGGAGCTAGGCATCGCCCCGACGGCCATCGAGCTACTCATCCGTCGATTGGGATGGTGGCAAGCAGTCGTTGCGGAACCCGATCACCATGCCCAGTATCTCGCTGCAATATTCGGTCAGTGTAAGTTTGAGCTCACGGCCACAGAGTCCGAGACACACGCTCCTCTCACCGACCTCGGCCTCATGAACGACCACCCCGATGTTCACCCATGGTTGCGACAATTCCGCGAAGATATCGATGTCTTGCTGGCGCATCCGATGGCAGCCGATCTACGGTCAATCTGGGACCCGCCGATTGTTGCCCGATTATTCCACGACCCGACGATCAGCGAGAGGTTCCGATATTACGACATGCGAGAGCTCCGCTCCACGTTCGTCTCCCAGGAATGGGCACCACCCGAAGCTCTACCCATCACCACCCACCTCCCACCTCCCGTGTCGATCCCCGTTGACTCCGACGACGAGGAACTACTCTACGTATGCGGGCTGGGGGGATGCGAGCAGAGATTCGCCACCGCCCATAAGTTAGTCACCCATCAGGTCCATTCTAAGGCCCCAGGACACGGCTGGCCCCCGATCCTCACGACGCTTACGGTTGACAACAAGTGCCTGATGTGCAACACCGTCTTCCAGAATATGGAACATACGATCCGTCACCATCGTAGGTCATGGCTCCAGGGACGTTGCCTACCAGACCAAACTCGACATGTATATACATATGTTCCCGCTGGTGTACGCATGTGTCCGTATTCGGCCGTCTCGAAGAACCCCCAGTGTTGCATAGAGGCTAACTCGTTGGAATCCCTGAGGGCCCACTTGCGTCTACACGTACCACTGTCGCCATCTGGCTCAGCTTGGAAGCAGCCCGACACGCCGACCACCCGCGGGCCCACCAGCAGTGGCCCGTCCTCGGGGCCTCCCGCGGTCGCAGCAGCTCGCGACACCGCGGCAGCCGCGGACACCGCGGAGGCCCGCCAGGCGCTCCGTGTGGCATCTCATCGCCTTCTTCTGCCTCGTGCTCCACCAGCGGCGGCAGCTGCGGCCCGACCTCGCGCCGCACGACGGCAAGCTCCTGACCGAGAACAACCGCCAGGGGATCCACCACCTGACTCACCGCTGCCCTCGCCTACGGCCGTTGCGCCGCACCTGAGAGGACAAGGCGCCACCACCACCCCGACACTTCCTGTTCGACCCGATGGCGGCGGCGGCGGCGAACGACACGCCGATGAACCGCGCCAAGACGACGTGGCGATTGCAGGCCTCATCGGACCCCTCCAAGACTTCTGGCGGCGCCTCAGCGAGCAAAGGGCGGGACGGGGACGGAGCGCCGCTACAGAAGACACAGAGGGGGGCCGAAGGGGCCAAGGGCGGAGGCAAGGACCAGGCACCAGAGGCAGAGACGGACGCACCAGCACGCCGTCGACGCGGAGGCCAACGCCACCGGCGTGGACAGCACACCGAGAAGAAGTGGACCAGCAAGGACCCGAACCTGATGCAGATGATGACGATCATGGGCAAGTTGACATTGCAGAACAGCCATCGAGCCAGACTTGCGCTGGCCACGACCGTCGACGCGGCCAACCTGCCGACCAGCCACTCGCTCGTGGTCGCGATCTCGGAGGACCTGGACATATTCAAGCAGCACGTCGAGAAGCTCCGCCAGGGCGACGACGGCCAGAAGGAGGAGCTCAAGACTCTAGGGTCGCCGACAGCCTCGCTCGTCCTGGCCGCCATGGAAGCGCTCCGCCTGTGCGACATCGGGGGCGCCAACAAGCGGGCCATCCAGGAGTGGCTGGATCGGACCGCGCTCGACGAGATGGACGAGAACCACATCAGCAAGACGGACATCGAGGACGCAGTGGACTTCATACGGATCGAGAAGTGCCACGACGCAGCCAGCACGAAGATCCTCTTCTCCATGAAGGCGTGGAACATGAGGAAGGTCGTGCTCAACTCCCTCCGCTGCGAGGGCAAAGCCAAGGTGCACGCGGGCGTGATGCCTGCAGGCTGGCTCGAGGAGGAGCTGTCGACATGGGTCCAGGCGCTAGGCCGCTAGGACGTGCTCCTCCCGTCCTCCCGACTAGGCACGGCCCGCTCGCGCGCTCTCTGTCTCAGCCAGTTAGATTTGTGCGTGCCAGTTCGCCGCCGCGCGCGGCACCCGAACCTCAGCGAATTATCTTTGCAGCTCAGAACGTGTCCAAGGCTTCTGGGGACGACCGTCAGGACTCCGTAGGCGATTGCATGGGTGAATTGCCGAGTCTAGACGACGCATATGGAGCCGACGAGGAAGCAGCCGCCTTCCTCGGACACGAAAGGGTTTAGACGCAGTGGAATTTTGCAAGGAGAGGGGCAAACATTTAGTGAACACCCCTGCCGGCTTTAGAGTATGCACGTTCAGTTCAAACCAGCTTGCACTAGCCGCCCGACTCCCATGCCGCCTGCCATGCCGCTCGAGCTCCAGGCCGCACCAGCGCTTCGCGACACAGACGGAAGGCACAGTCCTCCCGTGCAGCGGGATTTCTTCCGAATGGCATAGTGCCATCGTTTTTGTCACAACGGATTGCAGCCCACTGCAATCGTGGTTTGTACTCATCCCTGATGCTTACGTATAAAAGTCGTCGTTCTCATCACCGTCGTCGTTGTCGTCGTCGCCGTCGCCGTCGCCGAGGACAAGGATTGGGAGCGGGGGATGGGGGTCAGGACAGAATGAGTGGGAGGAGGACGATGAAGATGACGGGCATGGACAAGTGGAGTGGCCTTGTGAGGACCAGTTTTTGCCGTTGATCACGTCGTCGTCGTCGTTGTTGTTGTTTGTGTTCGCCAGGGGTGAGGAGCAGGAGCTGGCAGGGGGCAGGGGGAAGGGTCAGAACGAAACATGGGGAGGAGGGCGACGAAGGTGAGGGCGATGCTCGCTATCGCCGCCTCTCGACCCCTGGGGCGCGGACAAGTGGAGCGGCCTGTTGAGGACTGGTCTCTGCCGCCGTGGTCGTTGTCGTCGTCGTTGCCGTCGCCAACGACGAGGAACAGGAGCGGGAAGGGGCAGGGGGCAAGGGTAGGACAATCGAAGTCAAAAAAATGGCGTCAGCAGAAACTTCCGAGTTTCGCGGGAATTTCTTGGATCGGCGCCTGGGCCCCCCCAGCGGCGCCTGCGGCGCCGCCCGGCGCGCGCCGCGCGCCAGACCAGGGAGGCCAGCGCCGATCCAAGAAATCCGCGCAGACCTCAGAAAGTTTCTGCTTACGCTTTTTTCTTCCTCCAGCGTACGAGAGGGAGGGGGGTGGGGGAAGGGGTAGGACAAAACACGAGGGGGAGGAGGAAGACGAAGGTGAGAGAGACACTCGATAGTGACCCTGCCTGTCAGAGTGGCACTGGCGTCTGGCCATCTGAATGCAGCCCAGGGGCTGCCCTCCTCCCGCCCCCTTGCACGTAACTAGTTCCATCCAGGTTTCATGTGCGTTTGCAGAGCTCATGCGTGGAAAGTGGCGATGCCGGCGACGCCGACGACGACGACAACGCAATGATCGGAATGGGTAATTTGATGATGATTATGATTCTGATGATGATGAGGATGATGGTGATTCTGATGATGATGATGCTGATGCTGATGCTGCTGATGATGATGCTGATGCTGATGCTGATGCTGCTGACGATGACGATGATGCTTATGCTGATGATGGTGATGATGATGCAGATGCTGATGCTGATGCTGCTGCTGCTGATGATGATGATGATGATGGCGATGATGATTATGATGACGATGATGATGATGATGGTGGTGATGATGCTGATCATGGTGATGATGATGATGATGATGATGATGATGATGATGCTGATGTTGATGATGATGATGATGATGATGATGATGATGATGATGATGATGATGATGAGGATGAGGATGAGGATGAGGATGAGGATGAGGATGAGGATGAGGATGATGATGATGATGATGATGATGATGATGATGATGATTATGATGATGAGAAGGAGGAGGAGGAGGATTGTAATGGGTAAGCGGATGAAGAGGAGGAGTAGGACGAAGATGAGGATAAGGAGAAGGAGGAGGAGGAGAAGGTGGAGGAGCCTGCCTTGGCCACCGCGAAGGTATTCGCAGGCGATCTCCGGGCTTTCGGTTCTCGACAGATGCTGGCATCGCGAGGGTTTTCGTGGGAAGGTGTGTGGTCCGATGGCCCGGTTTAGTGTCTTTCTGAATGGGCGCGAGCGTTTACCACGGTGCTTCTATGAGCAACCAGGGGCTTGGCTTGGTAGCGATGGTCCCTCGTCACGTGCGAGGAGTCTCTTCGCTGAGTGCAGCAATCCCTTGTAATTCACAGTGGATCGTGGCCTCGGGAGCGCGGATGATTTGTCATGGAGCATCGGCGCGAACCATTGGCCGTGCTGACATGCTTTTGGGGGTAGGAGCTCTAGGTGGGATTTTTCAGGTAGTCATAAGAGCGCCCTCGGGGCTCGCGTATCATACAGCAGACTTTACGAATATTTCGAAACCCTCTGAGTATCATGCCTTCTTTGGGACCTTTCGACCTTTGGCCATCTAGAAGGGCATCGACCGAAGAGAGAGTGGTGCCGATTAGCCCTTTCCCTCTGGAGCACGAGAAGTCGCCTCTTGGAGCCCGAGTCGCTCTTGGGGCTCTCTTGGGCGCTTTGAGAGCCGTTTTGTACCTCTTCCGGGCCCCTGTCGGGGCTCATTTGGGGGACATTGGAGCCATCTTGAGGCCTCAGCGACACATCTCAAGCGAGAAGGCGAGACAGCAAACATCACTGAATAGCTTTAAGGACTCTCGGGAATATACTTGGGAGGCTCTAAGGTCACTTGCAGCCGTCTTGAAGTTGTCTGGGGGCCTCTTGGAGGCATGTTTGAGAGCATCTTGGAGTGTCTTGCGGTTCCGCGTGCCAGATCGGAGGCCATTCTAGGTTTGTCTTAGCTCATCTTGGAGCGACCATGAGCCACCTTGACCGCTCTAACCCCTCGCGCTCTCCTGTCCAGACCTAAGGGAGAGGGTAGCGGGAGGGGCCCAGTTCCCAACGGGAACGCCACAAGCTGATTCGCTCACTCCCATCCGCACTCCCACCAACTAAGTAGCTCAGGAGTCTCGGCCTAGGCAGAGGTCGCCATCGGATGGACATCCATGACTTGTAACGAGAATGGTGGGGGGGGCCTCATGGTTCCAGGTTTCGCTGTAGGCCATCTACGCCCAGAGGGCTGGTGGGGTTCGCTTGCGTGTTTCCTCTTGGGGTCCCGCCTCGGCCATCCCTCGCTCCCTCTCTCCCCTTCTCCCTTCCTCCCCCTCCCCCTGGAGGTCTCAGGAGGTCCCCAGAGTCCGCTGGGGGTCCCGCCCCCCAGGCGGCCTCTGGAGGGCCTGCGAGGGGCCTCCGAGTGCCGCCGAGGGCGCCGAAGGCGGCGCGCAGCGCGTGCGCGCGAGAGGTCGTCCGCGTCGGCCGAGCCGAGGCCTCCGAAGGCCTCGCGCGGTGTGAGCGTGCGCGCGAGGACGTTCGCGTCGGCCGAGGAGGCTGCGGACGCGGGGCTGCGGCCGAGGCTGTGCCGGCCGAGGCCCTCGCAGCGGCATGCGGAGGTGCATTGCCTGCTGCAGCTGCCGCGGCTGGGCGACGCGGCAGGCGGCAGCCCCGGCGGGGGGCTTCGTGGCAGGTGATCAGCACCGTTTGTCTGATCCCCGCCCCAGATTTGGCCAGGGCACCTCAGCCCCGCAAGACCACCCCCCAAGACGGGGGTAGTGCTCGCGAAACCCGAAGGGAGCACAGCCTGTATGCCACCTAGGGGGGTAAATCGGCCAGAGGGGCCCGGGCCACGCGAGTGGGGATGGGGATCGGTTCAACGATGCTCGTGCGGGGCTCTGTGTCAGGGGAGGAAGACATACAGCTGGTACGAGGGTTAAGAGCAGCCCTGGCTTCCGAGGGGCACCTCTGTCTTGTCACAATGAAAGCCCACGCCAAGAAACACCCTGCTCGCCCCCAGGGTGCCCTGGGTTTCTTGGCTGTGGATGGTTTTGCTATGGAAATTGCGATGTCCCCACCAAAAAGGTTGGGTATCTTGTAGAAGGTTTCTTGTGGTCGAGCTCCTACTGTACCTCCATGGGGCCTGGAACCTTTGAGAAGGGGCTCATGTTCTTGACCCACCTTCTTGAGGCCATGTTTCGACCGTGCCACTACCGCTGCCTTTCCCTGGCTTTCGCCTTTGTGGGTCTCCTGTGGGGCCCTCGTCGTCACGACTGGACTCGCCTCAGAAACCTGGTCAGAACGCGCTCTGGGTGAGGTCTGTGGGGTGGTGGTTTTGGTGCTAGCTTTGTTGAGCCCTCTTGAGCTGTTTCGCCCGCAGAAGACATCCATACACTACCATGCCTGACCGGGACCATCTGGCGGGCACGTATACGGCACCACCGCACCACCATGCCTGGGCCCCAGGATGGTACCCTCCACCTAGGTTAAGGGCCTCATAGAGCCCTCTTGAGCTGTCTCGGGGCCTCCCCAGACCTCGAGCAGGAAGAACTCGCGCATGGTTTGTGAGCGTCTGGAGACCAGCGACGCAGTGTAAGAAGGGAAGGGGTAACAAGGGAAAGGGTCGAGTTCTTCCTGGAGCCCTCTTGGGCTGTCTTTGGGCTTCTTGAGGCCCTCAGGCGGCACTGCAAGATTCCTGGGCCTCCTCGCCGGCACCAGGGCCGTCCAAGGCTCTCTCGGCGGCCTCTTGGGTCGCCCTTGGGCCCCTCTGGGCCGCATGCCTCCCATCCTCAATGAGGTTTCTGTTGCAGAGCCCTTCGAGGCTCTCACAGGGGTTCGTTTCTTTCTTGTTTGACGCGTTCGGATGGTATCCTAGATTTTTGGAGCTTGGTGGAGGTCTCCGGAGGGGGAGAGGGGCAGGGAGAAGGATGAGTAGTAGTAGTAGTAGTAGTAGTAGTAGTAGTAGTAGTAGTAGCAGTAGTAGTAGTCGTCGTAATAGTAGTAGTGGTAGTCGTAGTCGTAGTCGTAGTCGTAGTCGTAGTCGTAGTAGTAGTAGTAGTAGTAGTAGTAGTAGTAGTCGTAGTAGTAGTAGTAAGTAGTAGTAGTAGTAGTAGTAGTAGTAGTCGTCGTCGTCGTCGTCGTCGTCGTCGTCGTCGTCGTCGTCGTCGTAGTAGTAGTAGTAGTAGTAGTAGTAGAAGTAGTAGGAGTAGTAGTAGTAGTAGTAGTAGTAGTAGTAGTAGTAGTAGTAGTTTAGTAGGTAGTAGTAGTGGTAGTCGTCAGTAGTCGTTAAGTAGTAGTAGTAGTAGTAGTGTAGTAGTAGTTGGTAAGTTAGTAATAGTAGTAGTCGTCGTAGTAGTAGTGAGTAGCTCGTAAGTAGTAGAAGTTAGAAGATAGAACTCTTCAGTGTTCGCCCCCCTTTCTCCTGCTTTCTTCCCCCCCCCCCCCCACCCTTTCCCCCC